GGGGGGGGGGGTCTCCTGGTCACAGGGGTCTCGGCAGAGGCTGTTGCTGCCCCAACTGCTGTTTGTGTGATTATTTTCAATGTCAGAAATATTCCTGAACCAGCGACACCCCCCTTTGGTTGCAATGGACACCCACCCCCTTCCCCTGCAGGGAAGTTTTAGGCAGGTTTTAGCTTATTTTATAATAATTTAGTTTAGTTTATTTAGTTTATTTTTGCACGGGGAGGTGGCCAGCCCGGGGCAGGGGTGCCAGGGTGCTGCTCCTGCACCCCCCGAAACAGCTCATTTTGGGGAGAAGGTGGGATTTGAGCTCTCTGCGTTTTGCTGATATAAATGCTGGAGTGGGTAAGGGCAGAACTCAAAAGTTCCCCTTCCAAGGGGGACCAAGCAGGAGAGGTGGGAGCATCAGAGCCCCCCACGCCTCGCTGGGCCCCAGTTAAACTCCAGGGACCAGCAGAAAAGCACTTTCCCCTCTCATTTGGCTTTTTTTCCTTAAAACAGGACCACCTCTCTTCACCCCAGGTGGGACTCGAACCCACAATCCCTGACTTAGAAGGCCAGTGCCTTATCCATTAGGCCACTGGGGCCTTGCAAATGGGTAAAAAAAATGTAATTTCACGATCTTTGAGACCCCTCCACAGTGGGAGGGTGGTGGTGGTGGTGAAATCTGCCTCCTCCCAAATTCCCTGCCATGGCTTTAGGTTAATTTAACAAAATGACATGCAATTTTATTTTTTTTTTTTGTTAGGAAAAAAAATAAACAAATGGTTTTCTTAAATTTTGAACTGATGAATAATCTCTTTGCTCTGCTCTGCTTAAATATGCAATTAGACTGATTTTACTCTTCCCTTTTTTCCCCCTCCCCCAAATCTACTGCTGCCTGTGTGATCAGCAGCAGAGGGTGCTCTCACAGAGCAGAGGGGCTGGATGAGGGGGACAAAGAATAAGTTTAAAAAAAGAAAAAGTGGCTGACAAAAAAAAAAATAATCTGAATTTTTAGTTTCTCTCAAACATGAACAGTAATTTTTCTGCAAAATGATTGACAGGCTGTCACAGTATATCACTATGTTCAAAAGAAGATGTTAAATATTTTTATTTACACTTTTAGACCATTTCTATTTAATACAGCTCATAAGTTTAGCATCACCTACAGCCGCCAATGCCATTTCTTTAAAAAGATGGGTACGTTGAGGACTTCAATCTCTGCTGTTCTCAGTCAAAGTCTGCCTTCCTGCTCTGTTTTATACTTGAGTGTATCTTTTTCTGTCGTAGTCGTTCACGGTTCATTTTTTCCACCCTAAAACAAAATGAAAAGATCCTTTAGTGTACAAAAAACACATTTAAATATTCAACTTTGAGCACAATTATAATGTAGATTTGGTGAGCTGGCAAATGTTCACAAACAAAAAAACCAGTCCTTGTTCTTGGAAAGTAGTTAAGATCTAATGGACCAGTGATTATTTTCTTTCTAAAAAAGGAAATCCAAATGAGTACGATATTTTAAAGAGGCTGCAAACTAAATTATTGGACACGACACTGTGAATCCATCTCACATAAAGGCCATTTCAATAAGGGTACCTCTCTATGAGTTTCTGTGTAGTCTCCTTAGACACCACCTTGGGTGTCTCTGTGGCCTCCGTGACCATGGTTCTGATTTTTTCTAGACAAATCGCCAGATTCCTCATTTGGTAGCGACTCTCTTCAGAGTTCACAATCAGCTCACCAGCTCGGTTTATCTTATTCCTGTGCTGAAGAGGGAAAACTGAGATGTGATCACTGAAACCTTGTTAGATTTGTCACGTTCTGGCTGGCAGTGTGACATTTAACCCGTGGCTGGCAGGGGGAGGGTAGTTACCATCGATGCCATTTTTTGCCTTGTAGCTTCTGGAATCCAGTCTGCTGAGGCCAGGTGGAACCGAACTTCTGCCTTGGTATTCACTGGGAGGAAAACAGGATCATTTTTTCAAGGTAACAAGCTAACCTTCCTAAGATTTATGAGATAATTGTCTGTTTACTGCTGGCTTTGAACATAGGATGATTCCAGTATTCATTTCCTGAAAGATCACACTTTTTTTCTTGCTATATTTTTACATACCACTCTACAAGACAAACTCTAATTTTTTTCTGGAGACTCTGTCATCGTATTTGCCTTCTAGACACTACAAGATTTATTGCTATTGCCAGTCACTAACTACCTTATTTTTATCAACAACAGCAGAACGGGAACTATTTTTAGTTTATTTGAATGAAGCTGAGAATTTATTGCACTGTAAAGTTTCAGAATCCACTTGGCTTGGTGTATGTTGGATTAATCAAAGCAGATTAGACAGAAGTGGTGTTTTGTGTGACACGTGTAGCAGCAACAATCCCAGCAGGAATGTTTCTAGGAGAAACCAATATGGTACCACTGGTCTCCAGACTTTGAAGTTCTGTTAAAATGTAGGGTCGTGATAATGAGAAATGAGCACCAGGCAGTGCTCTTGAATTTCAAGCTCCCAAGCACCACAAAGTCTAAAGAAACAACTTCAATATTAGGATTTTTCCTTCAAGGTCTCTCTCTCTCTCACCTTTATTGACGTTCTGACCCCCAGGGCCACTGCTCCGGCAGTAGGACACGGTCAGGCGTGCTGGAAGAGAAGATGGGCAGCGTGCTGACCTGGGGACATGGCCACGGATGGTTCTGCAGTGATTGGGGACAATCCAGGCTGCAGCACACTGCCCTGAGGGACGCCTGGGACCTGGCGCTGCTTTTGCTCTGGGTTTAGCTCTGTGTGCTGAGGACAAGCCCTGCAGCCTGGAGCCTAACCCACCTCCAGGTGTATGGGGTCTATGGGGCACCACAGGGGGGACGTGGAAGGTCTGGGGGGGTTTCTGGGGTCTGTGGG